AGTAGAAAAATGACTCATACCAATGCACATATTCATACAGTAAAGCATTTTTGAATAAATATAATTTTGTTCAGAGAAAAATATGACTTGGGTTAAAAGTAGATTCTCATAGGATTTAAATGTACTAATAAGATGGTAGACTGGGTATTTAAAAATCAAAACACTAACACCAAGTAATTTATAGTCAACATTTATTCTAGGAAAAAAGTGCTCATAAAATTTTATTCCCTATCCAATGTTGTGATGTTTCTTATAGGATAACAATCAGATAAATCAACTTCTAGTTCTTTTCTTCTTTCATTACACATAAAGTATTTCCAGTGCTATGCTCTTTGAATAATATCAAGATATTGGGGTCTTAACTCTCCAATATTGTATCAGTTTTCATAGGGGAAAGACATGTATTAAGATGTATTTGTGATAGAAAAGTTTTGGAAAATTTTAGGAAACCATTTATCTAATATCCATAATATGATTTTCTACTTGTAGACTTGATAGCCCTAATAGTTTAAATGCTTACATATGCAAATATTATCTGGCTACCAAAAGACAGTTTCAGAAATGTGAGAGAATCTAGTTATAGTTATGGGTTGAAATGACATTTCCTTAATAATTCCTTTTATAAATGTACCACCCAAGCTGAATGTCATTATGGGGCTATTTATAATTTAAATCTTTCTGTCAAGATAATTTTATGTCCTGACATGGCACCGAGTAGGCTGGAAACAGCTGTATGCCCTGAAGGGAAACAAAATTATCAGTGCTATTCAAGTGTAAAGGTATTAAAATAGGCAGTATTTCCTACAGAACTTCATGAGAAAAACGATGATGAATTGTAGCATAGCAAAATTATATCACTCAAATAATTACAACAATGATATTCAACAAATAACTTTTCTTCCTTCTAAATAGAAGAAATTTATTTATAAATATAGTTCAAATCCTTTGAACTTGCTAATAAACTAGATGTTATGGCAGTTAAAACTAACATTTGTTTATATGTGTATGAAATGGGTATTTAAAAAGTTTTGGAAATTTTCAGAAGAACCACTTACCCAATATCCCTGGAATGTCTGTGTATCTGTAAATTTTAAGTTTACATAAAAAAATGGTTTTAACCAACAAAAACAGAGTGAAAAGAAAATTCAGTTATTAAGTAACATGAGCAAATACTGTATTCACGGAAAATATGTCTAAACCTCATCATTAATAACAGATAACAAACAAGATAGTGAGAGTAAGGTGTTTGTTTTTGTTTTGTTTTACTTATTCAGTTTTATAAAACTGTTAGTATAAAGACCATTAGGTTATATCTAATTTGTTCCTTACATCTTAGGAGATTTTATGAGAATCTAAGTTTATGAAGAATTCTAAATTCATTTGTTGCAAATATGCTTCACGTCTTAGCCAAACACTACTGGAAATAACAGAAGAAAGTTCTAGTCTACTTATTCACCGGATGACAGGGAGAAACTCACGACTTCTCCCAGTCCTAAATGCCTATCTGTCTCATTTTTTAAAATGACATGCTTACCATCTGAAGCATGCACTAGCAAGATTAGGTTTCTTTTTATAAGTTCTTGAGAGCTTTGAAACGTTTACATTCAAAAGCGTGCTTGTTAAGATGTGCAAATATTATAAATGTGAGCTGAGATAGAAAGACTGTACACATAATAGCTGCAGGAAACTACTGGTAAAGAATAACATTTTACATTATCTGTTGGTTATACAGGTCAAATCCCATTTACAACAAATGCTATAACCAATTCCAGTGAAAAAACTCAGCATGACAGACAGATTCCCAATGCTGTATTTTATGATCTAAACATCTTAAATCGTATTTGGTATGTATTAATGTTCTCTACCAACCAAGGCAAGCAACAAAAGAAAATATAGAAAATCCTATTATTTGTTCTGACCAATAAGCACACTTTGAATCCATTTTGTTCTAAATGATTAATGATAATCCTACTGTTGGCTTATTTTAATTCCACAAAAATTTAGATCCAATTGTATATTACAATTTTATAATAGTAACAATGTCAACAAAGTGTTAATCATGTACACAAATGAAATAAAAATTTCTGTCATGAATGATGTGATATACAAGTCAATAAAATGTGTTAAATTCAGCTTCAATTTTTCTTTGGAATAAAAAAGAAAAAAATGTTTTAAAGAACAAAATTTATTCCTGTTTTTCATAGTAGCAATAAGACAATTCAGAAAGTATGTGATTTCCAGGTGATTACTGCATTGCATGTGATTAAAATTACTCAGCACCTTTTTCTAGCACATTTTCATTTTCTATAAAGAAAACAAAAAGTCAACTGCTGCCCAACTTTGTTTTAAAAAATGGTTATTGTTAGAGGTCCTAATTAAAGTTTGAAATATATATGACAAAAATGTTCCTAAAAGCCAATGCAATGTATATTTTTATCATATTATCAAAAAGCATTTAATAACTAAAGAAATACAGAAATGACTTATATTGGAGGGAAGAAATAAAAGTCTGCATTTCACTAATTTTGAACATTACATTGAGAACAGAAAAGTAGCAAGACTTAAAGCTATTAGCCAATATCTCTACCTAACCTAAAGGCACAAACTCTGAGAATAAGGCGCTTAAAGGTTAGTACTGTCATACCACAGTATGTCTTATTTTAGGTCAACACGACTGAAGACAGGAATTTTATAACTCTTCTTTGGCAGTGTGTCAGAAAAAAAGAGGATATATACTATATTCTACGTAGGCCATAAAACCATAGACACATTTTCCTTCATCATTCGGTAAACTTTTTTCTTGAAAGTCTACTGTATGCTATGCTTGCGTAATATCCTTTGGTCTTCGTCAGCTTCTTGGTCTTTGTATCACTCTTATAAACTGGGGTAATTTTTCCTTTAAAAACAAGGGGGCTTACTTGCCAGATCATTTGCCTCTGGCCTACATATCCCAAAATATTTTTTTTCTCTGTTTCTAAAAACAGAGAAAATTTAGTTCCAAACAGATGTCACATATAAATCAAAAGTAAAATGAACATTAAATCTATCTTCTGTACTTAAATTACCTACAGAAGTTGTCGTTCCAAAATTAGATTTGAGGGTTTGGCAGAAGATAGAATATAGTTTTTATAGCATAGCACTCCTTATAAGAAAGGGAGGAAAAGAGGGAGAGAGAAAGGGAGTTAGGAAGGAGCAAACAAAGAAACTTTCAAAGACCTCCAAAAGGTTTATAGAAAATTGGTTAAATATAAATATTTATAATGTGTTTTCATCCCAAGGCATATTACTTAGCATTTAAATAGTCCTTTTGGCCCAGAAGTCTCATAAATTTTTTTATTAGTTGATTCATAATTCAAAATACAGGTATATGGCATTTTGGAAATATTATACAGTTCATTTTGAGATTAGAGAAAAACAGTTTTACTCATAGTATATTTTCCAGAAGTGAATAAAGAAGAAAAGTCCAAAGGACATCAGATGTTGACAATTTTTTACATTCATTATTTGTTGATTCAATAAAGTGTTGAGTGCTTCCTGCAACATCATATGCAGTCTAAAGACACAAAGTAAAAATATTGGTAAGCTAAAAAGAAATGTATATTGCATATTGTTAGATTCATCTCTAAACAACAGAAGATAGTGTAACATAGAAAGATGGACACAGAATTTAGAGTTAGAAATTTGGGCTATAGCTTCAGATCCTACATTACTTACATAACGCATACAAATAATTTTTGTACCTTTAGATTTTTTTCATTTCAAAAAAGGGAAATACGCTGATTATACTGCTTATTTCAGATGGCTAGCTGAAAGGTTAAATGAGATGATATTTATGAAACACTTCAGAAAATTATAAAATGTCACTATTCACTATTTTTAGCTACAACAATTAAAAAAAATTTTTTTTTTTGAGACAGAATCTTACTCTATCACCCAGGCTAGTGTGCAGTGGTGTGATTTTGGCTCACTACAAACTCCACCTCCCAGGTTCAAACAATTCTCATGCCTCAGCTTCCCAAGTAGCTGGGATTACAGATGTGTGCCACCACAATGGCTAATTTTTGTATTTTTAGTAGAGACAGGCTTTAACCATGTTGGCCATGCTGGTCTCAAACTCCTGATCCCAGGTGATCTGCTGGCTTCGGTCTCCCAAAATGCTGGAATTATGGGCATTAGCCACCATGCCCAACCTGAGAAAAAAAGTCTTAACCTAGATTTTAATCAGAGAAGAATGGTTATCTGACTGATTTAAGGTTATTTCATATAACTTCTCTTGGGCCTGTATTTGAAAATCAATAAAAGGGGGTAGAATGATTACTGGCCTAACTCCATGGGCTTTAATAAGGATAAAATTACAAAGTATATGGAAATAACCTTATAAATGTTGAAGGTCTATGAAATATAAACGAATATTCTATTATAAATTTTATTTTCTATTCTTAAAAATCATCTTGGCCGGGCGCGGTGGCTCAAGCCTGTAATCCCAGCTCTTTGGGAGGCTGAGGCGGGTGGATCACGAGGTCAAGAGATCGAGACCATCCTGGTCAACATGGTGAAACCCCATCTCTACTAAAAATACAAAAAATTAGCTGGGCATGGTGGTGCGTGCCTGTAATCCCAGCTACTCAGGAGGCTGAGGCAGGAGAATTGCCTGAACCCAGGAGGCGGAGGTTGCGGTGAGCCGAGATCGCGCCATTGCACTCCAGCCTGGGTAACAAGAGCGAAACTCCGTCTCAAAAAAAAAAAAAAAAAGTCATCTTTTGAAGTTGGTCAAATGTTTAAAAAAAACTACTTAAATCTTGACGATCCCTTTTAATCATGCACAAGCAGCCTAGATACAAGACAATTCTTACCCAACAGGCAGAGAAGATTTTTTGGTTTGTTTCATCTATAATATATAAAATAGAGGAAACCACAGAATCAGTGCCAAATGAAAATGCAGGGCCATTGTTCAAAAGCCATTAAGCATTTCAAGACAGCAATAGCAGAGCATTTAACCAAGCACAGGACCCTTCTAAGTGCGGGTCCCTATGCAACTGCGTAGGTCACATGCCTATGAAACCCATCCTGGAATGATGATAAACTTTCATCAGGGGCGAGGCGCAGTGGTTCATCCTGTAATCCCAGCACTTTGGGAAGCCAAGGCAGGCAGACCACCTGAGGTCAGGAATTCAAGGCCAGCTTGGCCAACATGGTGAAACACGATCTCTACTAATAATAAAAAATTAGCCAGGCATGGTGGCACACACCTGTAATCCCAGTGACTCAGGAGGCTGAGGCAGGATAAGAACCCAGGAGGCAGAGTTTGCAGTGGGCCAAGACTGCACAACCACACTCCAGTGTAGGTGACAGAGTGAGATTCTGTCCCCAAAATAAAAACGAAAAAACAAACTTTCATTAGAAAGTATGATGACCAGAAGGCAGTGGAACATTTTCAAAATGCTGAAAGCAAAAACTGCCCACCCAGCAGGGTATATCCAGTGAAAATACCTTGCAAGAATAAAGGCAAAACAGAGACATTTTCAAATAAAGGAAAACTAAGAGAAGTTTTTGCCAATAGACCTGAACCATAAGAAGTGCTAAAAAAAATTATTTCAGGCTCAAGAGAAATGACAGCAGACAGAAATTTAGATCTTTAGGAATAAATGAAGAACACTGAAAATAGTAAAAAAAAATCTGAATTTTATTCTATACCCTGAATATATCACTGAAACATTTTTAAAAAGGGTTCTTTGGCTCCACGATGGAGAACAGGCTATAGAAAAGGAGTGTGGAAAAAAAAAAAAAGATGGAAATGTGCATACCATTTTGAAAACTGTTGTTGCCTAGGAAAAAGATGTACCTAAGACTCTAACAGCTGCAAAGAAGATGGAGAAGGACCATGTTTGAATCCCAGTTGTAACATAAGCCTATGTTCTTTCCAAATATAGTGTACTACCCTTCAACATAAGAGAAATATGAAGTATCTTCTCAGTTTGTGATAGTAGCAGAAGATGAAGCTTAACTTATCTTCATTCTGTCCTGAAAGGGTCATAGAAACACATTCACATTATTATATACTTTCGTAAAATTTACATCCATACCCATAGAAGGTTTTTGTCCTTGAAGAGCTGTTCCCTCCAAACTATATAAGCTTTACACCCCATAAAACCAGAATCCACTGGATACTCAAACAAAATCAAGCAGCATAAAAGACATATTAGGAATGAAATTAAAAGCTAGGTTATAAATACCCTTGATAATTTAGAATAATACTAGAGATGTCTTAAATGCTGAATGCCATTTAAAAAGCACCCCTACAAATTAAATTAGTTAACATTCAACCTAATATACTGTAGGTCAATAATCTAGATTAGTAAGTTTTATGTTCAAGATTCATATCATTCTCTTTGTCAGTAATCAACTATATGATGAAAAACATCTTAACTCTTTTTCTTCTTGGGAATTATTTCTAAAACACAGCACAAAATAGAGGCTGTTTGTGTTAATACTTTTAGTATGTGCCACTACATTTCCATAGCAAAGGCACTGGCTAGGTTTTCCCGGAGAGCTGTTTGTCACAATACCTTTCTAGCCTTCTGGCTCCATCTCTATCCAAAAAAAGAAAAGAAGAGAAGAGAAGAAAAGAAAAAAGAAAAGAAAAGAAAGGAAGAAAGAGAAAGAAGAAAGAAAGAAAGAAGAAAGAAAGAGAGAGAGAGAGAGAGAGAAGGAAAGAAAGAAAGAAAGAAAGAAAGAAAGAAAGA